AGGATACTACAGGAAGATCCTAAGATAATTAGCGCGTGGTTTAAGCTAGTAGAGGATACTTAAGTTAAGTATAGTGTTTGCAACAACAACGTGCACAACTTTAATAAAACTAGGTTCTAGATGGGCGTTGCTTTGTCTTTAAAGGTTGTAACAGGCTTAGAGAGACGTGCTTAGCTAGAGCTTGTTCAGCCAGGTGATCGCGAGTGGGTTACCGTTATCCAGAGCATCTGCGCTGCTGGGTATGCAACCCTGCCTTTCATCATCTACAAAGGACGCGTCCACATCTCTGCCTGGTATGAGGAGACAGATATACCCCACAATTAGAAGCTCTTAGTCTCTGAGAATAGTTAGACAAACAACGCACTTAGCCTTAAGTAGTTAAAGCACTTTAACACGCATATAAAGACGCGTTAGGTGGGAGTGTACAGGCTGCTTATCTTAGACAGCTATAAGAGCTATCTTAACTAGGAGTTTAAGGACTATTGCCTAGAGAACTAAATCCTTACTCTCTGCATGCTACCTCACTTGTTGCACATCCTCTAGCTACTTAACGTGGTCTGTTTCTTGCTATTAAAGCGTAAGTACTCCTAACGCGTTTAAGACTTAGCACGCTAACACGTCTTCTACATTAACAAGGAAGGCTTCCTACTAGCCTTTAGGGATGTGTTCCTTAATGTGTTTACAAAGGTTAACTGCTAAAAGGCCTTTAAGGTATTAGGGCTTGTTCCTACTAACACGCAGGTGGTGTTAGATCGCCTTAAAGTGCGGCTGCATACCCTACTAGCAGTACCTCTACCCAAAACACTATAGCAATCCAAGACGCTAAGCAATACACACAAGTTTAGGTCTTAATCTAAGCTTGTAAGCGACTCCTTCTAACAATCGCCAAGTGCAGCACAAGAGGGGTTCTTAAAGCTTGTAAAAGGGGCTGAAGAGATGCTGCACAAAAACGTCCTTATTAAGGCCCGCGTGCGAGAGCTTGAAGAGCAATTAGCAGTAATAACTAAGAGAAAATCGCGTAAGAGAAAGCAGATTCAGCATGGTGGCACACTTGAGTATGGCCCAGCAGCATCGCGGGTAGCTGCTGAGGCGTGTGTAGCAGCTCAGCCATCTAAGAAGACTTAGGGTGGAGGTGGTCAACTAGGAGCTCAGTCAACTGTTCGGCGCTGTGGGAACTGCAGCAAAACTGGACACAACGCACAAACGTGCTAGGAGGGTGCAGAAACATCTTCTAAATCTAATGCAAGCACGCAGTATGCTGGGTCACTGTTTAATAGCGAGTAGTTGTAGTTGCAGTAACTTGTGTTAGTTGTGCCAAGAGAAAATGGCCGGTTCGGTGATATGGCCGGCTCGGTGATAATCTACGTTACTTACTATTAAATAGTAACCTAGCATACTGTGTGCTTATATTAGATTTAGAAGATGTTTCTATACCCTCCTAGCACGTTTGTGTGTTGTGTCTAGTCTTGCTATAGTTCCTACAGCGCTAAATAGTTAACTAAGCTCCTAGTTAACTACCTCTACCCTAAGTCTTCTTAGATAGCTAAGCTGCTACACACGCCTCAGCAGCTACCTGTGATGCTGCTAGGCCATACTTAAGTGTGCTACTATGCTAAATCTGCTTTCTCTTACGCAATTTTCTCTTAGTTATTACTACTAATTACTCTTTAAGCTCTTGCACACAGGCCTTAATAAGGACATTTTTATAACGTACCCCACGGGCGAGCGAGCCAACGGGCGAGCGAGCCACTTTTGCCAAGCCCCCACCAAAACCTGACCTATTATGGCCTAAAACACCACACTTTGGCACTCTGTGGCAGACTACGGCATATAATATCACTCAGAGACTACTTCTACATCAATCTTGCACGTTCGCGCGTTGTGGCCAGTCTGATTGCACCTTCTGCAGCGCCTTTAGGTTGGCTCACCCTCTTAAGCGCGCACCCGCTTCTTTGGCTTCTTCCCATCACCACGCGCCCTAAACTCCTTTAGAGCTGCTAGTCGCTGCCTATCTCTAACTATTAGGGTCCCTTCCTTCTAAACCTACTTTCTTTTATGTAATTTTTGTCGCGTGGCAGCCTCATTAGCTGCTTAAAGCTTGCTAATTTCCTGTTAGGCCAAAACTAGCTTGTAGGATAAAATTGCTCCCCCCTTTGCATAGTGCTCAAGCGCGCTTAGAACAGAGTCTAGTAAGCTACCCTGCTGCTTCTTATACTTCTCTTAAATTAGAGTTAATTGCGACCTAAATTCTAGGGTATTGCTAGGGGTTTGCAACTGCTAGGGCTTGCTATTAGTAGGGAGTAGTAGTGATAGAGTCTGCAGCTTTATATTAAGGGTTAAAATAACCTGTTCTAGGTTAAAGGGGACTAATCTAGCACCTTAGAACCCTCCTTAGATATTGCTAGGAGTAAACACTATATTTTAGGCTGCTTTAAAGCATAGGAGGAACTCAGTCTTTGTAAGGTGGGTGATCTAGTTACGCATAAGCATTTTGGCTTGGCGCCTATACGCTAGCTTCAAAGGGGCAAAACAACCTATATTAAGTGGCTGTAGGAGGTGTGATGAGTGCAGAGGCATACATATAGTAACAATCTTGTTATCCTTGCAGTATTGCTGGAATTAGAGCAAGTTGTGGCTCTTATGGCCATTAATAACTAGCAGTTAGTAGGTACTAACAGTTCGCCCCTTTGTATGCGCGTTAAAGTGCTTCAACCACTTAAGACCAAGCTTATTAGTAGTCTAGCTATTACTAGAGACTCTAATAACCTAATCCTAGGGCAGGTCTTCCTCCTTGTACTAGCTAGAGAGGTGGTGGCGTGCCTTAAAGATAATAAAGGGCGGAATAGCCTATCCTTTTGCATTAATGCCCTGTATGACCGTTGTCCACTCCTAGTTGCCTAGCTAGACTGTTTTTGGCCTTCCTAGTCTCTCTAAAGCTGTAACAACTGCTCCTAAGGAGATCTAACCTATTATAAAGCCTGTCTTATCAAAGTTGTAGGTATTGTTATCCTAGATGCTATACTTAGCTTTAATGTTGGCTACTAGGCTAAACCAGCCCTGCACAACCCCTAAATCCTCGCAGAGGGCTTGCTTGTAGTCATACTTGCAATTAAACTTTACTTTAAGCTCTAGTTGACGCTTAACAAACGTACTGGGCCAGTTTACGCCAACAGGGCCTAGATTGCGCTCAGCGCGCAGAGAATTGGCCATAGCAGCCACATCTGCAAGCCGGGGGCCAAATCCTCGCGCGTCTAGCTCAAGTATGTGCTTAACAATTACCCTCTCCTCGTTATTATCTAATCCTCGTGAGTTAGGCATAGTATCGCCTTGTGAAGGTTGTCTAGTGTGTTGATGGCTTAGCGTGCTTCAAGGCACTTTATAGATAGCTGCAGCGCGTCGCTGGGAGAGATTCGCGTCTTGTTTAAGAGCTTGAAGCGCAAGCTGTACCTGAGCTTCTTAAGACGCGTTAATAATAGGTTGTTGTTGAGACATTGGTATAGAAAGGGTACTTTGGTAGGGGCTTGGCAAAAGTG